AACAAAGACCCCCCCCAAAAAAATAAAATAAATAAACCCCAACAAAAAACAAACAAAGAACAACAAAATAACTAAACAAACAAAATACCCAACAAATCCCCTTCACTTAACGCACGTAGATTTGAGACACAATTCCATTATCAAAGCTTAAACTTAAATAGCAATAATATTAACTACCGTACGCCATCTTGTTTCGACCACGAATTCTGTTTTTGTTTATGCAGTGAATATAATTAGCCCTCTCCGCGTTCATTTCCCTCCTCCACATGTCTTTTGCCAGGCCCCTCCGTCAGCAGGTAACGCCAACCACGACGCCAACAACACACACACATACACACACACACACTCACACACACACAGGTAGGCTGTACGAATACCACCCGGCCGGCCGTCAGCGTAGGCTATGGAGAGAGCCCCAAGCCCCCGAACCCCCGAGCCCACCTTTCAAAATTAGCACGCGAACTGCACGCGCGTTTTCCTGGTGGTGCGGAGATCCGCACTCCGAAAATAAAACTCATCACCAGGCACAAAGACACCAGGACGTGAGTGAAGGCATACACACACTCACATCTCACGGGCCTGACGCGACGCGATGGAGAACAACATGCATACCTCACTCACTCACTCACTCACTCACTCAACGACAAGATTCCTTGAATCGTTAGCGGCATAATTATCAATAATTATTACGACTGTAGAGTAAACAATCTTGTTTCGACCACGCTATCTGTTTGTCTCTCGGACCTGTCACCTAGCACTTGTTAACGTGACATTGATAATAAAATAGATACATAAATAAGACGGTGCAACAGAGTAGATATATTATCATTATTCAAAAGACGTTATATCTGCGCTGAGCGAGGGACAAAGAATCACAGGACGAAACCAACACCCCCACTTATTGCGGCGTTGGAACATTCCAACAACGCGAACCGTAGGAAGAAAAAGCTTGCATTGGACACAGGCGGCCTAATTTTCAGCAAGCGAGCTCGCCCTACTATTAGAAGATACAGGCGAGGCAAGCTCGATAGCCGAAACCCTCTATCCCCGCGCCGAGCCGAGAAAAGCGAAAATTCTGATCCAGCCATCCTCCCTCCCTTCCTGCTCTCTGCCGCGGCCCCGCGGCCCGATCTTGTCTCCATTCGCCCTTACCGTTGTGAGATTCCATGAAAACTCGTATTACAACTCAAAAATGATGAGCAATAAACTTACAATCATTACTTCAAACCTAATCACAGCCAAGTTTTCTTTAGCTTTGTTATCTATAACTGACTGACGCTTGATAATCAACCCGCCACACACACACGATTAGTTCAATATTTAGCAGCACCACTCTACTAACTGACTGAACCTACTTCCCTCTAGATCTATATCTAGATCAGACGTTTCTAGCGACTTCTGCTTTTCCAATCTCAATCATACACATGTACAGGCACCTCACGAGACAATTGTGCCATTAAAACTATATGGGATGTATTAGATTGTATTGATGTAGAAAAGACGAGCGCCACACAAGCGGCATTGTTTGCTATGCGCCGTGACGTCACGATTTGTGCCACATGCGCTCAACCCTAAACACTGAGTCTCGTGTCTGATTCCCAAACCCGACCAACCTTTCTTTCTTCTCACCTCACCGCCCGAACCCAGCTCGCCCGGCCGGAAAGGATTCCTAATTTCACAAGGTTAGTTTTAGATGAAATTTTCGGTCTATTATCCACTAGTTTACTCGTTTTTCTGTATTTACCTTTTTCTAAGATCGGGGTGAGGGTGGGGGAAGTGACATGGGCACTGATATCGGTGTTTTCTTGCGTTTTTCAATCGAATAAAACAGAGGCACTCCATCGCGTAGATTGTCTACCGTGCCCGCTTCACCCTCGATTGTTTTGGCGACATTTGAGCTCGTTTTTCACAATTAAAACTCAACATTTGAGGATCAAAATTGTGATATTGTGATAGCTTGTTAGCAGACGAAACGTTTGGTGTGTCTTTTGTCACGATTTGACCCGGAATCACTTGGTTATCTGAAGAAAATTACTCCCGTGTACTCTGACATGAAGCGAGTTCGCGGCCCTCTGCGAGTAGGGGGAAGTATTGACCATTATTTTCTTCCTAGCCATTTTTATCTCTCGACATATTTATTTCGCCAGCCCAGCCGAGGAGCTTTGTCGGCCAACCTTTCCTCGTCTTCTCATTTTCTCATCGACGTTGTCGTTGTTTCTTGTTTTAACCTTGAGAGTCACGTGGGTTTGTTTTGATTTTGATTCTTGGAAAACGTGGATAGAAGCGATAGAGAAAAGTTTGTTTTCAAGACGAAATGATCATGATTCCTTCACCCAAGGGTAATCATTGTTCTTCCGATGACCCCTCGCTTGGTATCTGGAGTCCAATAGCTGCATAAATAATGTGTAAATGAATTGAATCAGGTTTTTCTGCACCGTTGATGTTGGAAAGTGTGTGTTTTCTGTGCTGGATGAGGCAGGTTGTGTGTTCAGTGTTTTGCTACCTCTCGGAGTTCTCAGATTTTTAAGGAGCAACCAGGACTGGAAAGGTGTTGCTTCTTTGACATGGAGCTCTGAAAGCCCTGTCGTGTTTCAAGATTTGGTTTTCCAGAACAAGTACTGTTAATTGTCGTCTCCATGCTGTCATACAGGCAATACAGGCTAGACAACTGCTTGTGTCATATCGTGTGTTAAGTGTGTAGTAGTATGATCAGCTGATTGCGAAGGTCTCGATGTTTGTGTGTGTAGTAGTTGGGTGTTGTGTAGTCACCTGCAATTTTGTCTTCTCTTGAGTATGATGGCCAGAGGTAAGGAGTAAGGATAGAATATTTAAAAAAAAAATGAACTGTGCTTTAGTGAAGTGTTCTACTGTTCCTGTTTTTTGTTTGTCAAGTGTTCCTTGTTTTTTTAATGTCAGTGAGTAATAAGCTAAGCCAAAATGAATCATACTGGCTGGTGATTGTAGATTTTTAAAAAGTCAGATCTAGAAAATCTAGATCTAGATCTAGATCTAAGATCTATCTCAGTCAGTCTTGTTGAAAATGAGATTCAAGTGAACGTTTAAGGAGATACATGGTCACATTACAAATAATCGAAAGACAGTTACAGTTTACCAAATAATTTAGATAAGTTGGGGTTTTCCTTGGGAATGACATTCAAGTCTTGACTTGTGTATTCTTGCTTCTAAACTCAAACATGCCACTGTGGTTTCTCCTCAAACTCTTTTGGTCTGTTAGGCCTAACATTTTTACACTGAAGACCATCAAAATTGGTTCTTTTGTAGAAATTGAGTTTTAATTTTGGGAAGCGAGCAGATCTGGCTTCGAACTCAGCTGACCCCTGACAGCTTTTCCATACTAAATAATTTGTGCCACAAGGTCTTTTCTTCTTTGCAGACCATTTTCCAAACTTTAGTCTATAGTCTGTATCATGTTAAGGATGTGGTAGCTGGAAGATCATTAATATAAAAAGTAAAAGTCACTGATCAGAGAAAAACTTTCGTTGTACAGTGAGTTAAGGAGTCCTGGAATGTGTAGGCCTACAGTAAAGGAGTCGAACCTGTCCTACTAATGACCCACCTATCCAAGACCATCATCTGTACAAACGACCACTACCAGCTTCCCATCTTCGTGTTTTTAAAATTCTGCAATAGGCTATATATATATAATATACTATATTGACACTGTTCAAGAATATCACCAATGATGACCACTGGTCTCATCAGAAATGGTCGTCCTGGATAAGTTCGACTGTACTTGGTATGGTGTCGGATTCTGCAATTTTTGTTGACCTTGGTGGTAACTTGGTACATTTTAGATGATATACAGGGCCGTTCTCTCTTATCCACTGTATTGTCTCATATCTCATGTTGCTGTGTTTGTGTTGTTTGCGTGCTCTGGGGGTGGGTCATGAGACAGTGGATTTTTATGTTATTTAATTTATGGTTTTTGGACTGCATGTTTATATATAAGTCTATTGTATATTTAAATGCCTCTTTGTGCCCCCACCCCTAACTATTTAGCCTGCTTCCTCCTTCACTCTCGTTCACTTAAAGTTAAAGTCAGCTTATTATGTGATGTCTTATTATTATAAGTAAAGTACTCTCCTTGTAATAGGTATGTCTGTCTCGAGCCGCTCGATCATAATCATAGTTGAATTAATGTTTCACCTGATTTAAGATAGATCTTGTAGAATTTGATAATTTGACTTACAAGCTGTTGAATTAGTGAACAGTCAACGCTGAAATTTTTGTCTTTGTTGATGTGTATGTCGTTCTTTGGCTTTCTTTGTTCACTCCGACATGATTGGCAATGTTGTATGTTATCATCAGTGACTGTCACTATCAGTGAAGGTTATCATTGAAATATTCTCTTCCAAATTTTTCTCTTTTCTTTGCATGCCTGTTGTAATTTTACTTTCTTGTGATTTTCATTGAAGGGATAATGCTGTTTGTCTTCTCCTAGTGAGGAGTGAATGCCAAACAAAAAATCGTCTCTCATAACAACCCCTGATGCACGCACGCGCGTGCGCGCACACACACGTGCGCGCGCACACACGTACACACGTACACACTCACACACACACACACACTCGGAGGACACTTTTCTTCAGCCCACATATGGCCTATTTTTGCAACTGCAGTGAAACTAATTATCTGAAAAAAAAAGAGCCAAGATCAGTTTGATTTTGACCCCCAGAAGTGAAATTTTGACCAGTACAGACCTTTTATCTAACATCTTCTGTTCTCTGTAACTGTCCTTCCTCCTGTTGTGAACTTAATTTGGTATGGCTATT